ACAGAGAGACAGAGACAGACAGACAGACAGACAGACAGACAGACGGACAGACAGACAGACAGACAGACAGACAGACAGACAGACAGAGAGTCAGAGAGTCAGAGAGTCAGAGAGTCAGAGAGTCAGAGAGTCAGAGAGAGAGAGAGAGAGTGAGCGAGAGAGAGAGAGAGATAGACATAAGGATACTAGATGAGGGGTCGTCACCAAATTGGGCGCAGCTGAACTTCGCAACAGGCCCGCAGCTAATTCCTCAAAGGTTCTGAAACCCTGAGGCCCTTGTAAAGTTAATATAGGGGCCTCAATAGTCACCTCTGCTATTTTTTTGGGGGGGTTCCTTGTTATAAGTATAGTATATTGGGTCCCAAAACCCTATTCTAATTATTAAGGCCCCTATATTACTAAGGCCCATAAGCCTTATAAGCCCCAAACCCTAAACCCCTAAAACCTAAACCCTAATTTATTATTATGGCCCCTGCTTTCAAGTGATTCTCCTCTTTTCGGTGAGGAGACACAGAGACAGAGACAGAGACAGAGACAGAGACAGACAGACAGAGACAAAGACAGACAGACAGACAGAGTGAGAGAGAGAACCCCTTCTGAACCCTACTTTCGGCTCTCTGAAAAGGGACCTTGTTGAGAGGATCTATATCCCCAAGGTTCCCCTAATCCTAGCTCCCCTCTTTTCGGTGAGGAGACCATGTCGAAGCTTTTCGACCTCGCGAAGGCGGTTTGGGACGCGAATCGAGGGGAAATTCGCGAGAAAGGATCTTCCGCATGGTGACCCTAAGGAAGAGCCTGTCTGGTTCTTAACTTTATAAAGTGGACTATAAAAATATTCTTCATATCAAGTTAAGAACGAACATGTTTTCCAAAGCCTACTGAAGCTGCTGTAAATTATTCAGGCCGCTATATTGATTTGGAGCTCCATTGTGGTTTGGGGGTAGAGGGTTCAGCGGCTCGGGACTTGGACGATGGGGTGGTGGCTGCAGGCTGTAGGCTTTGAGGTGCAGGGTTGAGAAGTCGGCATGATAGCCTCCGAGTTTGCCTTGGACCTATAGACCCCTTATAGGATCCTTTAAGGATCCCTTATAGAACCCTCTTATAGATCCCTTAAAGGAGCCTTGTAGCTACTTCTAGCGTTTCGGTCGTGCGGGTCCAGGATCCGGGACAGCTCTCGGGTCTTAAGTTGGCCTAGGGTGGGGTCTATTCTGGGTTTCGGTTGCAGCGCCTGGGATTGGGTCCGTGATATGTCCAAGGGGGAGGTGCGCAGTGAAGAATGGACATGGCCATCGCTCACTTAAAGTCCCATGGGCCCCAAGACTCCCTGAGCTCCGGACTGCCAAAAGGTCGCCGACGTGGAGGGTAAAAAGAAGCGCCTCTTTGCAGGGGCACCGTGCATGCACTTATTCGGTTTGTGTCTTGTTGCAGTGCTTTCCGTATTCTGTGTGCCGGTGTGTTTGTTTTTGGGTGTTTTCAGCCTTGAGGAATTTGAGCTTTTGGGTGTTATACTCACGATGTTACTGCTGCTGCCTATATACTACTACCACTACCACTAC